GAAGTGTTATTTACTCCTCCACGTAACACACGAACTAGGGGTCACCCAATGCAATGAATAGGCAGCAGGTTTAAAACACAAGGAAATATTTCGTCACACTATACACAGGCAGTCTGTAGAATTCATTGTCAGGGGATGTTGTGAAGGGCAAAAGTAAAATTGGGTTCAGAAAAGAACTAGGTAAGTTAATGGAGGATGGTCCATCAGTGGCTATTAGCCAGGCTGGGCAGAGACACAACCCATGCTCTGGGTGTCCCTAAACCTCTGACTGCCAGAAACTGAGGCTGGACGATGGGATGAATCACTTGATAAATTGCCATGTTCTGTTCATTCCCTCTGAAGCATCTAGCACCGAGCACTGTTGGAGACAAGATACTGGTCTAGGTGGACCATTGGTCTGACTCAGTGTGGTCATTCTTATATTCTTACTCTGAAGGCCATTCCTTACATCTTCCCCAGAGAGTGCTGCAAACCCAGTGCCACTTCCCCATGACCTGGCTGGGGGCTGCTAGGAACTCCGTTTGGCTGGTACAGTGTACCTGTCCGCTCAGCCATGGATGGAGCCCACTGCAGAGTGCAAAAAGCTGTATGTTCAGGGAACTTGTTCTTCCCTTTGATCTGGAGGTGTATGGCACATGCCATATAAAGTGTGTGTCCTCACAGCCCTTCTCTCCCCAGAGCACCTTGCAGAAGCCTCTTGTGGCACTCTGCCCTTCAGCACTGGAGGCTGGTGGAAGGGTTGAGGAAGTTGCAAGGAAGAGAGTCCCTTCCCAGCCCTGCTAACTGCCCTCGCCCTCTGCCCAGGTCCCTGGGTTGCGTTCATTGCCTCAGGGTAAGAAGCTCATTACCCTGGGTTTGGGGAAGTGTTCCCCTCCCCCACATGAGTGCAGCAGGTGATGTGGCTTCCTCTTTCCCCAGCCCCAGAGCCCTGTGCTGCTCAGTGGAAGTCACTGTTCCCTATTGCTGTGAGAAGCAGCTTTTGACTGGATGAGCAGGAGGGCTCCCAGGGACTGACTGGCAGGTGAGTCACGAGGGAAAGAGTCATTCAGAGAGGAGCCCAGTCAAAGCAGCCAGTGGCCTTAGGTTGAACTCTGGAACTTTCATCTCCTTGTCAAGCAATTAGCTCATCAGAAGCTGAGGCTGTGGGGTAGAAGTTGGGTTGAAACAAGTGAGAGAGGGGCTGCCCATGTGTGCAGCTACCGCACAGGGCGCGTAGGCTCTTCTCTGCCCAGGCCTGCCAGATGGCTGGTGCTGCAGATGCTGGTTAGCGTGAAACATGCTCTTTTCCCAGAGGTGTTCTGTGTGCGTTCTGGCTTCCACTTCCTCGAAACATTCACCATGTCCACATGGCTCCCACTTAGCACATGGATTCTGTCTGCAGCCATCCAGCCCTTTGGGAGTGGGCAGCAGTGCACTGGACTGCAGCTTGGTGCTCCCTGCTGAAGGGAGTGGAGCTGGGATACTGTTTACCCCCTCCCCTGCCTCCGAAAAGACTGGTTCATTCTGTGTGGGAAGAATCTGGTACACGCTTCCCCATGGTGTGCATGTGTCATTTTCCACTCATGGTGGGGAGTTTTGCCACTCCCCCACTGCCAGTAAATGGGTGCAGTGGCTGCAGGCTGAGAATTCTTTAGGGCTGTGGGCTGGGAGTGGGGCTGGAGGAAAAGAGTTTCTGTCCTACCCCACCTATATTCCCCACCCCCTTCTCGTCACACACATGCAGCCTGCAAACACGCTCTGGTAGAGCTGCCGTGAGAACATCGGGCACGTGTGGGCTCGTGCGGGGGGAAGGGCAGGTTGATGGAGGGAGCTCAGTCACCCTGGTCCTTATTCCCCCCCTCAAGGATCCTGGAGGTGGCGAATTCCTCTCCCATGCTCCAGCAGTCGAAGAAAGTATGCAGGACAGGGTCCTAGCCACCCATTTGTGCTCTGGGTTCATCCACTCGCTGGGCAGTGAGACTCACTCCAGTGATGGGCTTTCCTTAACTAGGGCACATGGTAGGGGCTGGGAGGCTCAACCCAGGAAGCTGGAGTACCCACCAGCGGTAACACTCCTACAAGCTTTCTCCTGCCCATCACATTCTCTTGGCTTAAATGCTCTTTTCTGGTCTTGGCACCCCAGAGTGGTTTTGCTTCCCCTCAGAGAGGCAATGGAGAGGCTGCCTGTGCTTATGTCATATTTAAACTGGGCAGGTACAATGTATTAGGGCCCTCACTGGACATTGCTTCTTGCTCTGCCCTGCCAGTTGCTCTTTAACCGGCTGGCCAAGTGTTCCTCGAGTCCCCGGGTTTCATCTGCAGAGTTCATAAAATGGTGGCAAGTGAAGTCAAGTTTCAACGCAAGGGGTGCTTCAGGGCCACAGCAAAATAGCTAGCTAGTGAGTGAGTGAGAGCCCCTGGCTGCAGGGGCCAGTTTAATTGGTCTAGGGCTTTTTACGAGCAGATTTTATGTTTAAGCTCACACATGGCCCAGGAGCGACGCTGCAGCAGGGCATTGCTCTCCTGCATGGGTCCTGGGGGAATTCAGGTCAAGCCTAATTATACCTAATTGAGCAGCCCCACTGCACATTATTTGCTTTATTCTCCAGCCTACACCCATTATTTCAAAATAATGGGTGTAGGCTGGAGAATAAAGCAAACAAGAGGAGAGGTAATTAGTGTCGGACCTGGGACCATCATGCCCTGGTAAATACCCAGCAAACTGGGACCCTCCTGAGCAGCCCTCTCATTCCACATTTGTACAGGTTCTTCAGCACTGCCAGGACTCTGAGAAATTCAGTTCCCTGCTAGCAGTGGAGTCTTTACAGCCTAGGGGATAGGGCACTTGACTGGGACTCAGGAGACCTGAGTTTAATTCCTAGCTCTGCCGTTGGCCTGCTGGGCGACCTTGAACAAGTTGCTTCACTCCCTGTGCCTCAGTTTCCCCCATCGTAAAATAGGGACAATGAGACGCCCTCCTTTGTACAGCACTTTGAGATGGAAAGGTGGAAAGTGCTATAGAAGAGCTAGGAATGTGTTAGAGCTGCCATCTCCTGCAAATGGATCCAGGTTGTTACTGGTTTCCTGGCCAGTGTCTCTTCTCCAGACAGTTCTCGGGGGGGTGGGTATTTTGGATTGATTTCTTTGTCTCATGCCGTAATAGTGCTGTGTCCTTCAATAGTCCCTTTCATCCCGGGATCTGAGGACTTTGCAAATGAGCCTCACAACATCACTGTGAATAAGAAGGGTAAGACATATAGGGTTCCGGTTTTCCTGCACTGTAATGCAGCTACTTCTCGGGTGAAGCACAATAACTGCTTAACCATGCACAGAATGTCCAAAAGAGTTTAGGAGAAGTGAAAAAGTTCAATATCCAAATGAACTTGCAGAGAGAATTTAGAGCAGCAGGATGAAATTACCTGTGACACTTCCTGCAGACACCCAGGCTTGTGAGGCATCTCGCTACCACCGGCCTTGCCTGTGCCTGCTGCGGAGCCCTGACAACACAAGCACTGCCTCTCAGCTTACGCAGGCGCCTCTCTCTTGGTGCAGGCACGCTCCACCCACTCTCCCTCAGGGCAGCTCCCGGGAGTGGACAGCCCAAATCCATCAGACACGTTCCGAATTCACAGATCTGCTACCCTCAAAGGAATAATACACGTCAGTTTACCAGTTTCACCTCAGAATCACTGCTCCGCTTAACACACAGCACTTAGATATGTTTATAGTGAAAACAAGCATACGTTTATTTAACAAAGAATTGAGATTCAAGAAGAAGCCAGTAGAATGATGGAAATAAATGGTTACCTATAAAAAAATCATAACATGCATTCTAGAGCCTAGACTTAGCTAACAGGTTACGTTTAAGCCCTGTAGAGTTTAGCCCACCCCAAAGTTTTTCTCCCAGTGTTTTACAGCCTGGCTGGCTGTGACCCTCTGTTCATAAGGTATGGATGCTGACAGCTTATCTCATAGGTGAAGGCTACCAAGTACACCCCTGTATATTCCATCAGTTCATTGTCTGTACTCGTAAACTCATGAGCTGCCTCTGAAACAATTCCACAGTGACATAGAAACATAGCTCCCTGTCTAACAGGTGATGGATGGAAGGAGGAGTGCCCAGGGAAGGCATCTGTCTCCTCTACATCCCAGGCTCCTCCCAGAAATACCCTCCGAGGTCTCTCAGACTCAGAGGCCTGTAAACATGTTACAGTAAAAGCTTTGTTATCCAGCATGTTGGGAGGATGGGGGGTGCTGGCTAGGAGCAGCAGGGATTGTCGTCACTTGCAGGGAGCCGCCCGAGGTGAGCACCGCCCGGATCTGGATACCTGGCAACCCTATCAGAAATGCTGGTTTCTAGAGCTTTCCAGTTGGTAAAGTGCTGGATAACACAGCTTTTACTGTATTTATCTTGCTCTAGCCTCTTCTTTGTTTGCCCTGACTCTCTGGTAAAGATATTTCATGCCTGGACATAGCAAAATTGTCCTTATTTGGGAAGAGAGAAACCAGCGGGGCCCTTATTTCAGATGGGGCTAGCGGATGTGAGGGCTTTATTCAGGTAAGTGGTAGCGATGTTTTGAGCAGTGCACCAGAAGCAGCTATGTAGCAGTTACTGCTTCTGGTGTCGCAAGGATTCCCAGCATTGAGCTGAGTGCAGGATAAATAAACACCCAATGCAGTAAAATCACCTGCACCATTGCTGGTGCTTTGTTTCTGGCTAATGGTGCATATTGTCCAGTAGAGGTTGATTGTTGTGATCGCTGCAGATGGGCACAGTAGCCAGCAGAGGGTGCTGTGCGTCCATCCAGCCTGCTCCCCCTGGCTTCACGCTCCAGCTGTTTGGCACTTGCCCTGTGCCTATGTGCATCGTGTTTGTGAGAGTCTGGGCACGTCCATTTGGTTCCCATCTGCAGTGCCCACCCCCCACATCCAGGCCAGGTTATTCTCTCACCAGGGACTCTGTTAATTCACAGGAAATCGGGGAGAGTTTAATTGTTTTCTCCTCTTTTTTTCCCATGCAGCTGAACAAAAGGTTCATCCTCAGTTTTCTCCATGCCCATGGGAAGCTGTTTACCAGGATTGGGTAAGTGTGCAGGATGTTTATTTTATTTTCCTACATTACAAGTCTTTTTGGAATTTAATATTGTTAGCAACTAGGCTGTGTTTGTAACCGAGGGCACAGGGTGTGAATTCTTGCAGGCCTAGTCTCCTGGTTCTTCTTCTCCTTAGCCGCCCTCCAGTCCTGTGCTGGTTATTGTTTGGGCTTTTTCTCTCTCACCCACCTCGAGGCTGTGTCCTATCAGACCCTGGGACGGCGTATAGGCCTGGCCCAGCCCTGTGGGCTCTGGAACTCCCAGGAGCTGCTTTGCATTTCCCAGATCTCCCAGTCCTCTCCTCTGTATGACTGTTCCCAGAATCACCCAGCAGAGAGGCTGCTCTCCTGGCTTCTCCAGGGCTCACTGACTGCTCAGGTGGTTTTTTCTTGAGGAATTTGCATTCCTGTGACTGCACACCTGCTGTCCAGAAATGGTGCGACAAGCGCTATCCCTTAGTCGCTTCGGCTCCTTTTTCCTGGAGGCTGTTGGTTAAGCGCTACCCTGGCAGTGGGAACTCATTTATAAAAAGTGCTCTTAGCATGTCTGGCATAATGGGGAGTCAAATAATTCAATGGCCCTCCTTGAACTACGGCGAGTCTGCTCAGGCCTGGGCTGAGATCCCAGCCTGGGGGATTCGTGTCTGACCCAGGGAGCACGAGTGTCTCTGTGAGTCATCTGAGCTGGGCCTGTTACTGTCAGGTGCCTGTGGTGCTAAGTGCTTGTGTCTTTGCTTAGTGTCTGGTGTTGTGGTGGGACCTATTTCTCAACCCAAACACCCTGAGTTGCTCTGTGTGTAATGTGCCTTCAGATGGGAGCTGCCTGCTCAGCAGCGTGTTCCATCTCTTCTCTTGCCTCCCAGTGGCCTAGAGGTTGATATTGTAACCAGGGTTCAATATTGGCTCCTGCTGTCTCTGGTAGAGCCGTTTGTTACCAGTTACCAGACTGAGACTTGTTACAGGCCACCTGAGAGACCCCCGCACTGGCCTGACTGGCTCATTGTCCTTTCTGGTATAGCAAATTCTTTTGACTCAGGCAATGTAGTTTCTTGCTCTAGCCAGGGCCTGTCTATCAGCCCTTCCCTGGAAAGCCCTCCCCAGTGTTATGGGCTGGAGGATGTGTTCCTTAATAGTAGTGGAGAACACTAGCAGAGAGCTTGGCTTGGTGTAGAGCTGCAGTTCCTACCCCAAGGAGCTTACGTTCCAAGCTGGCTGATCAAACTATGGCTCTGAAGCCACAGGTACCTGCAGTTTCTGTTGTCTTTCAGTTTGATTTCAGGGTCTTCCCATCTCAATGCAAAGTAGGAGCCACTCTGGCTAATTCAGTGGAGAGTGAGTCCTTTGAGCGGCTCATGGCTAACAATGTGAATCGCAGTCTGTGTCATGAGGCACTGTTTATCTGAATGTGGGCAGCATGTTGGCCTGGAGTGAGGAGTCAAAGAACTGGATGTCCTCGTGGATGGAGAAAAAAGGGCAGATGGAACTTTTAGTAACTGAATCGTGTTTCTCTGCCTGAGGGCATTGTGTCCAAGGACCTGCCTGTCCTGAGCTCTGCTGAGGCCGTGCTCATGGCTGAGTTATGGTTTGAACGCTTGCCAGCAGGATGGATTAATGGGGATGTTGTGGTGATCGCTTGCAGATTTGTCTCCTGAGACTTTCATGAAATTAAGATGCAGCATTTTAGGAGGTCACTTCCCAGGACAGCCATTTAAAAAAAATCCAAGTATGTTTAATGACAGACTCTCTCCCTGCTGTTCTTATTAAAGAAACTTGAAAGTAATATCAAGCCCCAGGAAGGGAAATCAGCTGGTGGTGCTAAACAGCTTCTGTGCTTAAAATAGGTGAATGGGGAAAAATAGATCAGACCTACTGTTTGTGCTTAGATCATTAAACTGTGGATGGCATGGCCGTGTTTTGTGGCATTAATTAGAATGTCTCACTGCTAAAACCAAAGGCAGGCAGTTCAGTGAAGACTTCCACTTCACTGCTAACCTGCTGGGCTCTGAGCTCAGTGGGCTTACCACACACGCTACCAGATGTGCTAGAGTATCAAAGCACAGCTGCCTGGGTTGATGAAGCCGTCACTCCTTCGAGCCTTCCAGAGTCCAAACATGACAATAATGTTCATTTCCTTTTGTAAGAAAGGAACAAATGGGGGAGAAATCCATCCTGCAAAGGGGCCTTTTGCCGTGCTGAGATCTGGGCCTTGTTTGCACTCACAGGATGTTGGCTCTGTGGTGAGTTGTACACGGTACATGAGTCTCTATCGAAATCCGGAGGCCTTTAGAAACTATCCTAGCTCCCAAACACCAGGAATGCTGCCTCTTCCTGGGGGGAGCAGCTTGATTGCTAAACGGGGCCAGCCCCATTCTGCAGGGCTGTTGTAACAGCCAGTATTTGATGCAGCGGATAGCTTTGTGCTGCTTTCGCACACAGTGCGGAGGGTATGGGATGTCCTGACGCTGGGTTTTAAAAGGCACCGTGAAGCACAGCCTTTAAAAGTAGAGCAGATTGCACTCAGAGGATGTTGTTGGATCTGTGATGATTAGAGCTCACCAAATTCACGGCTATGAAAAACGCATCACGGACTATAAAATCTGGTCTCCCGCCATGAAATCTGGTCTTTTGTGTGTTTTTACACCAGGGGTAGGCAACCTATGGCACGCGTGCCAAAGGCGGCACACGAGCTGATTTTCAGTGGCACTCACACTGCCCAGGTCCTGGCCACCGGTCCGGGGGGCTCTACATTTTAATTTAATTTTAAATGAAGCTTCTTAAACATTTTTAAAAACTTATTTACTTTACATACAACAATAGTTTAGTTGTATATTATAGACTTAAGAAAGACCTTCTAAAAACGTTAAAATTTATTAGTGGCACGCAAAACCTTAAATTAGAGTGAATAAATGAAGACTCGGCACACCACTTCTGAAAGGTTGCCAACCCCTGTTTTACACGATACTATACAGATTTCGGGGGGGGACCAGCGTTTCTCAAATTCATAGATTCTAGGACTGGAAGGGACCTCGAGAGGTCATCGAGTCCAGTCCCCTACCCTCATAGCAGGACCAAATACTGTCTAGACCAGGGTCCCAAACCTTTTTTGTCTGGCGGGCGCCAGACGACGAGCCATGGAGGACCATGGCGGTGGACAAGCATCCACCGAAATGCCGCCAACAAGCGGCAACGTCAATAGGCATCGCCGCCCAAATGCCGCCAAGAAGCAGCGTCATCCAGAGGCGTCGCTGCAGAAATACCGCCGAAAATTGGCGGCATTTCGGCAGTGACGCATCTGGATGCTGCTGCTTCTCGGCAGCATTTTGGCAGATGCTTGTCCGCCGGCCAGTACACGGGCGCACTTAGACGCCCCGGCGGGCACCATGTTGGGGACCCCTGGTCTAGACCATCCCTGATAGACATTTATCTAACCTACTCTTAAATATTTCCACAACCTCCCTAGGCAATTTATTCCAGTGTTTAACCACCCTGACAGTTAGGAACTTTTTCCTAATGTCCAACCTAAACCTCCCTTGCTGCAGTTTAAGCCCATTGCTTCTTGTTCTATCCTTAAAGGCTAAGGTGAACAAGTTTTCTCCCACCTCCTTATGACACCCTTTTAGATACCTGAAAATTGCTGTCATGTCCCCTCTCAGTCTTCTCTTTTCCAAACTAAACAAACCCAATTCTTTCAGCCTTCCTTCATAGGTCATGTTCTCAAGACCTTTAATCATTCTTGTTGCTCTTCTCTGGACCCTCTCCAATTTCTCCACATCTTTCTTGTAATGTGGTGCCCATGAAATTGGGGGTCCTGACCCAAAAGGGAATTGTGGAGGGTTGCAAGGTTATTTTAGGGGCATCATAGTATTGCCAGCTTCAGAGCTGGGTGGCCAGAGAGTGGCGGCTGTTGGCCGGCGCCCAGCTCTGAAGGCAGCACCCTGCCAGAAGCAGCACAGAAGTAAGGGTAGCAGTACTGCAACCCCCCTACAATAACCTTGTGACCCCCCCGCCACACACACACACACAAAACTCCTTTTTGGGTCAGGACCCCTATAATACAACACTGTGAAATTTCAGATTCAAATAGCTAAAATCATGAAATTTACAATTTAAAAAATCCTATGACCGTGAAATTGACCAAAATGGACCATAAATTTGATAGGGCCCAAGTGATGATCCAACCAGCCTGAAAGGATGTTGCGGAAGCCCCAAAACATTGTCCTTGTAGGTTACCAGAAGCATCCCATTCATCCAGCCTGGAGCCTTCTCACATTGCAAGGTCTGAATCTGTGTGGGGGAGGATAAAGGAAATCAATATACATTTGCTGTGTGAGACAACTGGGCATGTCCTGGAGGCCCCTGCACTCAACTACTCTAACGCTGAGGCTGCCCCTGCTTTTCCCAGGATGGATTTCAGCTTTCCTGTGCATCTCTGGAAGGGCACACTGGAACCGGCGGTCATCCCGGCACACTGCCCTGGCATTGGCTTATCACCAGGACAGAACCACTTGCTAGAACAGTTGTGGGTTTGCTGGGGAAGTTCAGCAGTAAGGGTGGGAGTAACACTCTTTCCAGTCCACTAGTATCTCTGGAGGATGTTAACAGACACTAGTGAAGTTGGACATTTTTAAATCAGCAGGTTCAGATAACGTGCATCCAAGAGCTTTAAAAGAGCTGGCTGAGGAGCTCCCTGGACCATTCATGTTGATTCTCAGTAAGTCCTGGAGCACTGGAGAAGTTCCAGGAGACTAGAAGAAAGCTAATGTTGTACCAATATTTAAAAGGGGTCAACAGGATGGACCATGTCATTATAGACCTGTCAGCCCGACACTGATCCCAGAGACGATAATGGAGCAGTTGATACAGGACTCAGTTAATAAATAATTAAAGGAAGGTAATGTAATTAACAAAATGAACATGGGTTTATGGAAAATAGGTCAAACTAACTTGATAACTTTTTTTTATGAGATTACAAGTTTGGTTGATAAAGGTAATAGTGTTGATGTAATATACTTAAACTACTGTCTGGGGTTTGGCTTGGTACCGCATGACATTTTGATCAAAACCACTAGAAATATATATAATTGGCCCATATTAAATGGATTAAAAGCTGGCTAACTGACAGGTCTGAAAATGTAATTGTAAACAGGGAATCATCATCACTGAGCAGGTGTGTTTCTACTGGAGTCCCTCAGGGATCTGTTCTTGGCCCTACGCTATTTAACATTTTTATCAGTGAGCAGGATGAAAAGATAAAATCATCACCGATAAAGTTTGCAGATGACACAAAAATTGTGGGAGTGATGAACAGTGAAGAGGACAGGTCACTGATACAGAAAGATCTGGATTGCTTGGTAAACTAGGCACAAGCAAACAATATGCATTTCCATATGGCTACATGTAAAAGTACACATGTAGGACCAAAGAATGTCGGCCATGCTTACAGGAAGGGGGACTCTGGGAAGCAGTGACTGAAAAAGATTTTGGAGTCATGGTGGATAATCAGCTGAACCTGAGCTCCCCATGTGACGTTTTGGCCAAAAGGACTAATGTGATGCTTTTGGAAGCACAAACGGGAATCGCAAGGAGCAGGGAGGTTATTTTACCTCTGTGTTTGGCGCTGGTGGAATACTGTGTCCAGTTTTGGTGCCCAAAGTTCAAGAAGGTTGCTGATAAATTGGAGAGGGGTCAGAGAAGAGCCATGAGACTGATTAAAAGGATTAGAAAACCTGCCTTGTAGTGTTAGACTCAAGGAGCTCAGTCTGTTTTGTTCAGCAAAAAGAAGGTTAAGGGGTGATTTGATTACAGTCTATAAGTACCTACAACAGGAACAAATATTTACTAACGGGCTCTTCAGTCTAGCAGAGAAAGATCTAACCCAGTGGTTCTCAACCTGTTAATGCAGCCCGCAATGTGTTAAGTGGGGCTCAGGCTGAGAACCTCAGCCCCCCTCCACCCTAAAACCGCCCACAGTGGCCTATGACCAGTGCCCCTGCCCAGAGCAGGGCCAGGTGTGGAGCCCTGGGTGCAGTCCAGGCAGCCGGACCCAAATCCTGCTGCACAGGGCCGAAGAGGACCCTGTGGTGCGGGGCCAGGCAGGAGCAGGGACCGGGACCCAGACCCATACCCCGTGGCGTGGGGCTGGGCAGAAGCAGGGACCCAGACCTGGACCCCACGGCACAGGGCCAGGCGGGAGCAGGGACCCAGACCTGGACCTCGCAGCGCAGGGCAAAAGTCGGGCTCCAGACCCCATGGCGCGGGGCCGGGCAAAACCCAGCACCGGGCCAGGAGTGGAGCCCCCGGCGGGGCCGGCAGACAGGACCCGAGAAGGGGGGCCAGGAGCAGAGCCCCACCTAAAATCTGGGGCAAACCCCTTAGTTCCCAGAGCCTCTCCTTCCCCCAGCCACAGACCCACTCTCCTGCCTCCTGCCCTATGGCACTCACCAGCCCTCTGCTGGCAGGAGCACAGATGCAGTCTGCAATAGGCTGTCTCCACCTCAGCCAGCCCTGCTCCCTGCCAGACCAGAGTGGCAAATTTTGAATTTTAGCACACAGCTGGGCCACAGCTGTGTGCTAATTGGGCCACATGCAGCCTGTGGGTTGAGACCTGCTGGTCTAACCCGATCCAATAGCTGGCAGCTGAAAGTAGAGAAATTGAGTCTGGAAATAAAGTGTAAATTTTTAAAGGTGAGAGTAATTAAGCACTGGAGCAATTGACCAAGGGTTGTGGTGGAGACCAAGGGTTCTCCATCACTGGCAAGCTTTAAATCAAGGAGTTAGTGTGGGGAAGTTCTATGGCCTGTGTTATACAGGAGCTCAGACTCAGTGGTCACAGTGGCCTTGGAATCTATGAAAATCCCCTCTAGTAGACACCCCCTGAAGAAGCTGAGAAGAGGCAGCACGGCTGGACTGAGCACAGCCTGGGAGAATCTGTCTGCCATTAGTTTGTGAACCCTTTGGAGGCAGGGATCTGTCTTACTCAGGGCTGTAGAATAGCTAGCACCCTTTGGGGGCTATATAAAGAGTGATACTAAATGAAGAGCAGCATCAATGTGTTGGGTTTCCTTGGATGAAGGTGCCTGTAACTGCTAAGGCCTTTGGTGTTGAAAAGACGCCTTGCTCAAAGCTGTGGCATTGCATCTGGTGGCTGGTCCTTCTTGATGAGTGATAGTAGCTGTGTGTGTTTCAGGAAACAGCTGTGGTTTTGACACTGGTTTTCATACAGTGACTACCAGCATCTAAATGAGACTGATTCTTAATCTGCAGGGGACCCCACATCCCTCTCCCGGGGCCAAGTTGGGGCTCTCACAGATGAGAGACAATGCCAGTGTTCCGGTGCTGGGTAATGTGGAGGGTCCTCACTTGCCCGCCATATGCTGGGGCCAGCGTGACAGAGCCCACACACGGGGAGCACTTTCCTCAGCAGGAAGTGGCTCTCTTAAACAGATGATGTTTACAAAGTCAGTTGCCCCCGACTCCATGGGTGTGGGTCAGGCTGACTTCTCCATTCTGTCTGCCAGCTCCAGCACTCCATGGGCTGCTGCTCCCCTGCAGCTGATGGGTGGGGTGGCTATCCCAGACAGGCAAGAGCTGTGAGGGTCTCCCTCTGGCCCCTCCTCACTGTGCCCGAGGCTTGGCGCAAGCATTCCTGTTGTTCTCTTTCTGCCTGCAGGATGGAGACGTTCCCGTCAGTGACAGAGGAGGTGCTGAGGGAGTTCCAGGTGCTGCTGAAGCACAGCCCTCCTCCCATCGGAAGCACCCGCATGCTGCAGCTCATGGCTATCAACATGTTTGCGGTGTACAACTCCCAGCCCAAAGGTACCAAGTGTTGTCAAGGAGGGGGCTGGGGAGTTGTGCCCTGTTCTGTGTGGCGAGTGATTAAATCCATGTGGCTGGAGAAGAGCAGGGGAGGGATACTGAACGAGCAGCCCTCAGAGAGGCAGAGCTGTCTTTGCCTGCCTGCTGTGTGGAAGGCAGTAGAAAGGGCCCTGAGGCCAGGATCTCAGGGCCTCTTCCCAGAAAGTGCTGCTCTGTTCTGAGTGGGGAAAAGCTTGGGGGTGTCTTCCTGGAGTCAGGCAGAAGAGTGTTGTGGAGGAGGAGGATGCGCAATCCGTTACACCTCACTTAGAGCCTGTCCCTAAGAACTGAATGATTTCCTGACATGCTTTCCCAGCATCTGTCTCTGGCCCCGCTCAGAGCCTTGCACTGGCGCTTAGAGGCAGGCCTGAAGACAGCTGCTCTCCGGAGGCATCATCGTGGCATTCAAGGGACAGCTCTGGGGGAGCATGCCCAGTCCAGTGGCTGCCTGCAGGTAGCTGCTGGAGGCGGTAACTGAAGGGCCAGGAAAGGAGGCTCGCCCCAGACAGAGCCAGCTGGGAAACACAGCAGGTGTGTCCAGATGGGGTGTGATTGCATCTCTCCATTCCCTCTTGGGCTGGGTGTGTTGGCTCCTCTCCCTTTATAGCCTTGAGTCTATTGAGCTAGTGGCTGTCCCCAGACCCAGTGTTCTCTGAGCTCCGGGGCTGAGTGCCCTTTCCTCAAGCGCACTGCAGAGAACTCCGAGTGCGGCTGAGGTGGCAGTTGCCTGTTTGTTTGCAGCCGGACGGAATGACAGTGGGGTTGGACGTGCACTCCCAGGGCAGGAAGAGCACCAGCTGCTGGATGTTTAGATTCGGAAGGGGGCAAGGCCTCTCCCACTGCAGTTGTGGCCAGAGTGCTGGGTTCTTACAGACACAATGAGACACAATCCCTGCCCCCAAAAGCGCGTGATTTCAGCTTTTCCTCTGCGAGCAGTAGGCTCCTTGTCGTGCCAGACGAAGTGACTGGGGACGAGATGAGCTGACTGGGTGAAGTGTGTGCTGGAGAAATAGCTGCACCCCAGCCTGCTTCCCAGGCATCTTCCTGAGTCACAAGTGTGGTTGCCTAGGGTGGGCTCATGAGCCGCTCTGCTAGATGCCAGCTAACCAGATGGAGTGTTTCTCTTTCCCGGCTGCAAAGTACTTTACAAACATGAGCAAATGCCTCCTCTCAGCCCCCTGGGAGGCAGGTCATTGTCCTTATCCCTGTGCTACAGTTGCAGGGACGGGCACAGAGTAGGAAAGGGCCCTGGCCAAGCTCATGCTGCAAGCCACAGGCAGAGCTTGCAGGTGGCTTGACTCCCAGTCCTGCACTCGGACCCCAGTTCCAAGGGGATGCAGGCAAGGGGGAGGGAGCCGAGGCTGTCTCTTCTCTCGCTATGTGAAATAAGCCCAAATGTTCTTAAGGGTCCCTATCTCCTAAGTGAGTAGGTGCCTGCTGCACCCAGCCTCCGGTCTCTGGAGAGAGCAACCCCTTTCCTGCTGGGGGTTCAGTAGTGAGTGTCTGGACCCAGTGACTGTGTTCAGGAGATGCCTGTGAATTGGAGGATGCTGCAGTTCCCACCTGACAATGTTAGAGGGTATGTCGGGGGTCTTGTGCTCGGCTCTCGTGTTTGAGAGCCTAGGACACTGCTGATCGCGTTCCTGGGGTAGAAATACTATTGTCAAAGTGAGCTTGTTGCCAGCCCGAACATCCCTGACATTTCCGGGGTGTGCATATGTCGAATGCTGGCAAAGTCCCATGTGAGTTTGGAGCCGATTTCACGGTACTGAGAGGTACAAAGAGCTGGATGCTGAGGCAAAGCAAAGGGCCTGGAGTTTTAAATGTATGCAAGAGCATTTGCTGCATTGTTGCCAAGTGCCCAGTGCATAGCTGAGGCGTTGGCTCCACGCCCTGGTGTGTGGGCTGCTGTGGGCAGAGGGCTGAGGGGAGCTTATTGCAGTGATGGCTGGTGGGAAGATGCATGTTTCCATTTCCCAGCATATGAGTCACCTTCTGTGTGTTGCACTTGCACGGACAGCGGCAAGAGGGGGTGTTGTGGTGATCAGCATCTGTGTGTATGGAGGAGGCTGAAAGGCCTTAAAACCTTTCCTTAATTATCATCAGCACAGTCACTGAAGGGAGTGGCAAATCACGAGTGATTCCATTCAGCGGCCTTCCCCACCAGCCTCTGCACTGCTGGGCAGTGTGTCACGGGGAGAGCACGGCAGTGCTGTCCTGCACACATGCCTGCAGGTGTGGTCTTTGTCTGGTCTCTGCTCAGAGCAGGAGTTATGCTGTCTCTAGGGCCGAGAGGGAACTCATTCGTAGGCTCCCTGCACTGCCCTGGGGCTCCTGCTGTGGAATGGACCTGCTGCCCATCGTGTTAGTTGGCTCATGAGCCTTCCCTTTGCTCCTGTTGATTTCCAGGCCTCCAAGACCCCTGTCCGTACTAGAAAATCTTTTCAAAAATTCCCTCCCAGCTGCTGCCGCTGTGTATCAATTAGACCTGCTCTCAATAAGGTTAGACTGTGTGGCTCCTCCCCATTAGGGCTCCCATCGCTGTTCATACTGAGGGAGCTGGACTGGTGCTAGCAAAGGTGCAGCAGACCTGGGGTCAGGCTACCTGTCCCTGCTTTCATTGACAGAATCTCACTTGACTCCAGGTGGAGCCAAGAATCCCACTCAGGGTCTTTTCTCCTGATGGAGCACCCATTCACCAGTGAGCCAGCCCCTCAGCCGCCCATGTGGAAGCGGGGTTAGGAAGGGTCTAGCTGCTGCCTCAGATCAGAGCCATGTAGTGCTATGGCAGACCCTGGACTGGAATGGGAAGAAGAGAACTGGACGCAGGATCCGAGGCTGCAGCTTGTGCAGTTCTGCCCCTGTCTAGTGTGAGCTGTCAGTGGCTGCTGATACCTTTGAGGCCATCCTGGGCTCCCAGGGAAGGGCAGGGACCTTTTTGGGGTGGCCATGTTTAGTAGTTTGGTAGCCATCTGCACATGTGACTCGCAAGGAAGTTTGGATCCCTTTATCCAAACCACAGACACTCCAAGAATTTTAATTTTTTTTAATTCTGTAATTTGGGGAAATAAAACTCTGGTTTCTGAAAGGGCTAATTGAAGCCGTGCTTGCAGCAGGGGCATATCGGTGGGGAGAGAAACCCCCTCCCAGCCCATCTGTGCCCAATTTACTCCAATCTGGCCTCTCGGGGGCTTTTTTCTTTCTCTCTCTCTCTTTAATAATTTGTTTTATAATTCCTGGAATCAAACCCATCTCAGACACACTGTTTTATTTTACTGTATTATTGGATTATACTTCCTATAAATCACTGGATGTTATTCATAGGCCACCCCCGGAATAACTTCCCCTCTCCCCGATGGGTCTACATTCCACACAAATGCACACCAACCTGGGGGCTCAGCAGAGGGCACCCTAGAGACACTTCCCGGAAATCCCAGCAAATTTCCCTGGCTCTGGGTGTGAGGCATCAGGCTGCAGCACCTGGATGCCTTCTGGCACTCACAGTCCTGTTGCATTTGTTCTTTCGAGTTTGTGAGGAACTCAGGCTGAACGGGAGGGGGTTGCCCCATGTGTGGGGAATGGTGTGCAGAGTCAGGGCTGGGTACTGCTGGCTGGGTTAGTGCTGTGGGCTCATGAACAGGAAGACAGGCCAGACTCCTTCCCCTCCTCCCCCACTGGAAAAATAGGGCCTGGAGGGCAACAGAACTGATGTGGCAGTGCTGCACGGGGTTGGACTGCAGGCTGGGGAGAGTCCCACCCCTATACGCCATGGAACTGTGCTCTGGGGGCCTCTGGAGCAGCATGGCGAACCATCATTACACACCCTCTAGCCACTGCTGTGCACATGTGGAAAGGAGCAAGCTAGCGCTTAGCAGAACTGTCCGGTGCATAGACCTTCTCTGCACCAGTTCCTGCCAGGTCCACTGAAAAACATCATCTGATAAAGGAATCTGTATGGTAGTGCAAAGTATCTGTGCCCCCAGGTATGTGTGAGACCCTCCCCCTCGTTCAGCATCTGTGCACAGCTGGAGAAGGAGGCATCGCTCATGTAATTCTCAACTGAATTCATTATGTACTTAGTCTGTTACCAAACAGACAGCTCCCCTGCCATCCTGCTCCTGTGTGCGGCTCTGTGCTGAGCGCATTGTGGGCTTCGCTTTAGTGACCGCAAATACTCGGACTTGCGAGCTAGACCTGTGAACCCTTAAAATAGCCCTTGAGATGTTGGAAGGGCGAGCAGTGTCTACCCTTGGCGGCAGCCCCGGGCCCGTCTCCGAGTGTCTCTTCAGCACTCGCTTGGTTTCCCGCACGGGATCAGGCTTTGCTTGACGAGCTAACTGCAGCATCGGAAAAAAGGCTCAGCCGGAAACACTTACTGCTCATCTACTGCAGCCGCATCTCAATGGCTTTTCGTGAGGGTCTAACCACATCATGCGTATTGGAGCACAAAGAAGGTGCTGGGAGCTGAGCCCAAAGGGGTCCGGTGCATTCGAGCTAGTTTAAAAATAAAACACTGCTGTGGACAGCAGCCTTGGTTTGGTGGAGTTTTAAAATTAGGTTTAAAACGAGGCTTAATGAAACCTCAGACTCCAGTTAGCAGAAGCAGCGGTGTGATCGCCCTGGTTGGGAAGTGGAGCTCAGCCCTTTCTCCTAATTCCCCCTCTCTGTGGTAAAGCTCAGCTGGCCTGTTCTCTGCGTTTTCCATAGTAGAGCACCTGGAGCCAGAGGAGAATCAGAGCAGAGATTCGGCCAGGCTTGGTGAGGACTGGGCTCTCTGCACAGTCTGGAAGCCCAGCTTGGACACATCTCTACTGCGTGTTTTACCCATAGCCGGGATGCTCCTGTTATAACTGGGTCTCCCAACATGGTAGGGTTTACATGCCTCTAGAGTAGCTCAGTGCTGTTTCCCTTTAAGGCTGACTGGGTGTTACTGTCCTTAGTATGTGTGTGTGTGTGTGGGG